CATGAACCACAGCCTCAATGAGGGAACATTTTGAAAAGTAAGTTCAAAAGGTCATACCTAGGCCCATCAAACCACCCCAATGGCCACATATACCCTATGGCACTCCCATTCATTCAGTATGTACAGTATAGAGTCAATAAATTCCACAGTAATAATGCATGACTGAGAAAGTGTTTTAAAGAAGTATTTCATTTATAAAACTCTTTAAAAATTGTTCTTAATATTGTTCTATAAAAATGTCAGCCATCAGTCCTTTAGAGCAGAAGCTGCAAGCACTTGACACATCTTTATCTTCTGTAAATAAGCATTGTGCATTGACAAAATAGATCTAAGAGAAAAAAGCTATCATTCAAAGAATGTTTTCCCTTGGATGCAACCGTTTCAAAAGAATAACAGATGTCTGGACTCTCAGCCAAGCTACATTATGTGTTTCTTGCAGTGACTATGGCTGGACGTTCAACATAGAGAAGGGTAATGGGAGCCAGGGAATTTCCTGGCTGTATGCACCCACCTTGGGAGAAAGTGCCTTCAAAGGCTGGGCTTTTGTTCAGGAGTGCAGGTGCTAACTGGTGCCTGTCACACCATCTTAAGAAAGAATTTTGGGGCAGCCACTGAAGTTGCCAAGTGCCAAGAAGGTATAAAAAAACCCACTTTGGTGCTCTGAGACTTTTATGCATATATTAGAGAAAAGAGGGTAGCAAGAAAAAGAGTAGACCCACTCAAGGACAGAGGAGGGAAGTTATGCATGGAGCCACAGGAAGTGGGAGAGATTTTTGATGATTACTTTGTATTGGTATTCACCAAGGAGAAGCACGTGACTGATGTTGAGGTAAGGGATGAGTGTGTGAATACTCTAGAGAATGTCAGTATAGTGAAGGAGGAGGAAGTTTTGGGTATTAGAAATTGCATTAAGGTAGACAAGTCCCCAGGGCCAGATGGGATCTACCCCAGGTTACTGCGAGAAACAAGGGAAGAAATAGCTCGGGAATTAGCAGATATCTTCACATCCTCTTTGACCACAGGCGAGGTTCCAGAGGACTGGACATTTGCTAATGTTGTTCTCTTGTTTAAGGAAGGAAGCAGGGATAATCCAGGAAATTAAAGGCCGGTGAGCCTGATGTCTGTAGTGGGATAGCCCTTGGAGAAGATACTGAGGGACAAGATATATGGACATTTGGGAGAAAATGGACTAGTTAAGGTCATGTCTCACCAACCTGATTGAATTTTTTTTGAAGAGGTAACAAAGCTAATTGAGGGAAGGACTGTGGATGTAGTTTATATGGACTTTAGTAAGGCATTTGATAAAGTCCCACAGGCATGGGACTAAAACTAAAATCACATGGGATTCAAGGTGGCTAGCTAGATGGATACAAAACTGGCTTGGTTATGAAGACAGAAGGTAGCAGTTGAAGGGTGTTTTTCAGCATGGAGACTGGTAACTAGTGGTGTTCCAAAGGGATCCCCTGTTGCTTGCAGTATATGTAAATGATCTGGAGGAAAATGTGGGTGATCTGATGAGTAAGTTTGCAGATGACATGAAGATTTGTGGAGTTGCTGATAATGCCGATGCTTTAGAGAGTGTGCAGAGGAGATTTACCAGGATGCTGCCTGGAATGGAGGCAGGTCCTATGAGGAATGGTTGAGGGAGCTCGGGCTTTTTTCATTGGAGTGAAGAAGGATGAGAGGTAACTTGATAGAGGTGTACAAGATGATGAGAGGCATAGATAGAGTGGATAGTCAGAGACTTTTTCCCAGGGCGGAAATGGCTAATCAAGGGGGCATAATTTTAAGGTGATTTGGAGGAATATTTGGGGAGATTTCAGAGGTAGGTTCTTTACACAGAATGTGGTGGGTGCGTGGAATGCACTGCCAGCAGTGGTAGTAGAGCCAGATACATTAGGGACATTTAAGCGACTCTTGGATAGGCACATGGATGGTGGTAAAATGAAGGGTATGCAGGTTAGTTTTGATCTTAGAGCAGGATAATAGGTTGGCACAACATCGTGGGCCAAAGGTGCTGTACTCTTCTATGTTCCACCAAAAAACCATCACCTAACTACCGCCTTCACCTGACGATCCCATGGCTCCGATGATCCCATTGACCTGTGAAGTAATGCATTTTGGTAGAAGTAATAAGACAAGGTCTTTCTCAACGATTGGCTGGACACCAGGAAGCACAGAGGAACAGAGTGATCGTGGGATGCTTGTCCACAGATCCCTAAACACAACAGTACAAGTTAAAAGGGTAGTCATGAAGGCATATGGGATGCTTGCCTTTAACAGTAATGGCATAGATTATAAGAGCAGGGAAATTATGTTGGAACTTTGGTCAGGCCACAGCTAGAGTATTGTGTGCAGTTCTGGTCACCACACTATAGAAAGGATGTGATAACATTGGAAGGGATGCAGAGAAATTCACCATGATGCTGTGTGGGATGGAGCAGTTTAGCTATGAAGAGAGGCTGAATAAGCTCGGGTTGTTTTTTTTAGAGCAGTGAAGGCTAATAGAAGACCTGATAGGGGTCTTTAAGATTATGACGGACAAGGACAAGTTGAATAGAAAGCAGCTGTTCCTGTTAGTTGAAGGGTCAATAACAAGGGGGTTTAGAGGCGACTTGAGGAAACTCTTTTCACCCAGAAGGTGTTGGAAATCTGGAATACACTGGGAGTGTAGCTGAAGCAGAAAACCTTACAACTTTTAAAAGTACTTGGATGAGCAAGCACTTGAAATGTTGTAAAATTCAAGGCTGTGAGCCAGTTACTGGAAAGTGGGACTAGTGTAGATTTAGGGTAGTTTTTGTTGTAGTTTTTGAAGGGCTTCTGCTCACTTGTACAATTCTATGATTCTATGATATGATAGCTACTGCCATAATTAGGAATGTATCCTCTGTGCAGATTTGTGGATCTTTGTGTGGATTTCAGCTTGAAATGATTTTTCTGAATGTGGAATTGTAAATCTTGCCTTTTTAAATGTATACAGGTCAGCATGCAGTTTCTGTCTGAAGAAGATTTTGGTCAGTGTGATAACTACAAAATAATCTGTTTTTGTGATTTTTTTTAAATTGAGGGATCAATTTTGGCCAGGACGCCAAAGGTAACTCCCTGTCATTCTTCAAAATAGTTCTATTGCACCCATCTTAGTAAGAGGCCAGGTCTCAGCCTAATATCTGATTTGAAAGACGGCTCCTCTGGGAGGACTTCAGTATTCCCTCAGCACTGCAATGGAATGGCAACCTAGATTTTGTTCTCCTCAGATCTCTGGAGTGGGATTTGAACCCAAAACATTCTTGCTAAGGGGCAAGAACAATACCATTTGAACCACAGCTGACACACAGGTATAAAACAGCCACATATGCCAAGTTAGATAAAGGTAGGTCAGATGCAGTTGTGACATCCCTACCATTGTTCTGTTTACTGTGTATCCTAAGCTAGCTCGCATCAATTAAGGGTTAAATTTTTCTTGTATCTTGAATCTAGGAATAAATGTAAGTGAGTCTTTAAATATCATTTGCCAGGTAAAATTTTCATTTACTTAGTATTTCATGGAAGTGATTATAGAAACTAAAATTGGTGTGTCCTTTCACAAACCAATTAAGATTTAAGAAAATTTCCAAATGATTCAGCATGGACATAAAGGGCTGAATATCCTCCTTCAGTTCAATGACATTTCTACTCATTTGTTAGCACTGTATTTGGTAAATGAACTGGAAATTCATTAAGCTGGATCTGTGATTTTCATAATGATGCAGTCAATGTTTAGCTTCATTACCCTGTGGCACTGACACAGCTTCTAGCTTCAGCACCTATTCAGTTAAACATGAAATCTTACTTCTCAATGAATGATGAGAATATGGAACTTGCTACCACATGGAGATGACACTTTAAAGTAATAATGTAGGTGCATTTAAGGGGAAGCTAGTCAAACACATGAGGGAGATGTTAATAGAGAATTCTGACCACAAATTTAGGGAATGATGGGAGGAGGTTCAAGTGGAGCAGAAAGACATGGACCGGTTGGGTTCCTTGGCCTGTTTCTTTGCATTACATCCAATGTAAATCCAAAAGTTATTGTTCATTAATTCTCTAGTCCTCCAGAGGTGTAATGCTTATGTCCCCACAGATCGTCATCTTTAAGTCTCAATTCATGAGAACTTCCCATTTTATATTGCAATATTGTTGTTAGAAGCCTTTGAAAATGTAAAGTTTTCTTCTTAATTGAAGAAAAGTTGAAGTTAAATTGAAATTAAAAGAAATCTATGCCAATTATTTCTTGATTTGCTGTCTGTGAGAAATCTTCAGTGTGATTGGTTAGTTACTCTGTGATAACATCACTGTTACTGGACTCTTAGATGTCTCTTGACTTGGGCCAAATTCAGATTAACAATGGGAAAGATAAAATTCATGCTACAGTAACCTAGGTCGGCAGTTTTCTTTGAAGGTGGTGATGAGCACCATTCCTTCTCTGCTGACTATTAAATCATGGCCCTTACGTATTATTGCAGGCAGTGTAATAAAATACAGATATTGTGAAAATGTGTGCAGTCTATTGTTTGGTTCATTATTTATGGGGGGCGGGTGGGGGGGGGGGGGGGGGGGGCGTCAGAGTTTTTTATCCAAAATTGAATAGTTTTATTCCTGACAAGTGTATATTAAATTTTAGCAAGGAAACAGGAATTAATTAGGTCTCTGAGTTTTGAGAAATATATACCAAACCTAAGTTGATATGTTATATCCACATCTAAAAATCACTGAAATTAGGTAGATAGTGTTAATGCTGTATTGCTGAATGCAATGATGAACATCGTAAAAAATTCCAAAAGTTTGAATATCCTAAAAATACGTTAAGAAGGTTGAACAAAGATAACAATAAAATAAACCAATCATGAATTGAGATCTGATTAACATGCATGTGGTCATCCTATTCTAAAGTTTGAGATCCGTACATAAGTGGCAAGTTTTATGGTATGCATTTTTGTAACTTCTTGATTTCTTTTTTTCAGCTGCCTGCTTGATCTTGGGCTGCATGATTTTCCCAGATGGCTGGGATTCAGATGAAGTAAAGCGCATGTGTGGTGAGAAAACAGACAAGTATACACTTGGTGCCTGCTCTGTTCGCTGGGCCTACATTCTGGCTATTATTGGAATCTTAGATGCGCTCATTCTTTCGTTTCTGGCATTTGTCCTCGGCAACAGACAAGATGGCTTATTGCCAGAGGACTTCAAAGTGGATACCAAAGGTATGATTTCTTTTTACAGTCATATCAAATCATGAAGAATTAAAATTATTTTAATCAAGTGACCCTAAAATATTTAAAGCATGATTTACATCGTAAAGCAAGTTAATCTCAAAACTAAGCTACAAATACCAATTTTCTCAGCTTGGAAAGTTTATTGATCCGTTACTGTAACGTTTAAACATTTTAAAGAGGACCAGAATATATATATCCACGGATTTTATTATCACATTTAACAATTTTTAAGTCGGCAATAAAATAATACTTCGGTGCTTTAGATTTCTGAACTTTAAATTTTTATCAGAATCTGTTTAGAATCTGGAAGAAATATATGTTTTAATGCAAGAATGTGTTAATTATAAGGTGTATTTCCATACCTTTAGAAATTTATTAAAAGGAATGTTGGCGTTATTTTCATATTTTTCTTGGAAAAGGAATTTGGTTTCTGTAGCTAATCCATTTGGTTGCACTGTGCAATTGTTACGTTGATTTGGGTATCACTGTTTTATAAAGAATGTACTGATTTTGGTTTTGATTCATTGACAAGTATTTCTACCACCTGGGCTCATTTGTTTGTGATCAATACTATTGGAACTGAGGCTGAAGGAGTGCATTGTCGCTTCAGTCACATTACATGACAGGCCACAACATAAAAAATATTTTTGTTCTCAATATTATCTATCAACCAGGTTTCTTAATATCAGAATTCTCGGTTTATTATCAAAACAAAACTGTTCAATAAAGATTCAACATTCATTTAATATACACGGTCAGTAACATAGAAGAATAAATGTTTATCCCTCTAAATATCCCCGACACATTTGTTCTGTTCAGAAAAAGAGAAAGAAACATATTTCTCTGCAGATATTGGCAATATAAAAAAAATTGTTGTCCAATGGGTTATTCTTGAAGGCGAAGGGATAAGGTGTGGGATGCTTTAGAGTCTGATGCTCTGATGTTACGGCACATGTGATCAAGTGTAGTCAATCCTGCTTAGTTTTCTCTCCAGTCTTGCAGACACATCTTGCTCAGGAAATATAATTTTGAAATGTTTTTTCAGTAAGTTATTCCAAAAACAAACAGGTTTCACCCTGCATTGATAGATGATTTTCTTTTCCAATATGGAAGAGATCAACTCGGCAGCTTGCTCATAATGAACTTTCCTCCCACTCAACTTGCTCTTTGTAGACTTCCCTCCAAATCAAAGGATAAAACAAGAACCAGTCAGTATTCAAAAACATCTGCTTAGGGTGTACAACAAAATAAGATATCATCAGTTATGTGATTTACAAGAAGCCGTGTTTAAAATAATTTCAAATCCTGTGAACTTTCAATGCTCTCTTTTGAAGAAACCATGCTAAATACACCCACAAAACTTGAAATAAATTCCTTTTTCTACAATCCTTCAAAACCTACATCCGTCAAACAATATTAAAATATGAATTGTCTTTGTGACAATACCAATGTCATGTTTCATTCAAATTGGAGGTGCCATGAAAACTTTACAATTCAGCAATGTGGATCCAGTAAATTTTCCAAATCTGTATATTTATGTAAAATTTTAATTGCACATAAAAACTGCCAACATAAACTTCTACTCTGCTAGTGAGAATATATAGTAAACAGGATGAATATGCAGGTCCTTCTTAGGAATATAATAAATAGGTATGCAGATGATAGGTGTAATGGTCACTTCACGGTGATGAAACCTCTTTTTTTTCCTCCAGTATCAAAACAACATCATAAAGACACGGAGGAGAGGCCATTTATTGAATCAATTCAATTCAATCCCCTGTGTAACCGAGTATTGCGTGGATTCTAACCAAGTCACTTGGTTTTTTTTTTCTCTATTTGTTCATGAATAGCAAAATAAACAGAACTTTGAAAAGCTGATCGAACCTTACATCCTATTTCCTAAACCATTGTTGAACAATAAATAAATTATGGATTAATGGTAATTATGGATATTAATTGTATTGGCCTGTGGTCCACAGTAACATTCAGTGAGAGATAACATTTTGTTTTTCTTTCAGTTGCAATCAAATTAATCTCTCCCAAAGCGACAGCTTCTACAACAAAATAATTCCTACACTCTACTTGCATTCAGGAGAAATACTATAACTATCACTCAGGATTTAACTCAGTTCTATCTGTCTCTGAAATAATGTCTAGTTTCTACACAAAAAACACAATAATAAGCTAAATTGTTTACTCATCAAGTCAAAAAATGAGTCGATCTTCTAAAATATTTTGATTTCATACTTTTTCACACAAAGTATAGCAGTTAGAAATTATGCTATTTTTGAGTAATACATTGGGTACAATTGTACCCATCTCAATCTATTTAAACTATGGTTATCAAATTGGATTTTTTCACCCGTTAAGGAGCATGGTTATTTTTGTCAACAGTCTAACACTGACAAATTTAATAGACTTCATAAATCTGGTATCAGTGGATGATTTCCCAATCAACAATTGCTGAGGACCCAAACAAAAGTGCTTTTGATGCCTGGAACTTATCCAGAATATTTAAATTTAAGCTATCCCTACAAAAAAGAACCATGATTAGTCTTGCAGAATTTGAATGAAAATATCTATGCCTTTATCCATTTGAAAAATTGAATGTAAACTTGGCCACTTCAGTGCACATTGTTCTTGGTTATATTAGTAGCATTTTGAGGCAGTCTTGTAGGTCAGAAGTTAATTGTGTGCAATGGATAAAAATTTGCATGGCTCCAATTCTGGCAGTCAAGAGCAAAGTATACCTCACTTAGCAGGTTTATATTGGCCATCAAACGTGCTTCAGGGAGCAATGAAAAAGGAACTACACTTGAGGCGAACAGAGCTTCTACCTCAGGCTAGTCCTTCAAGATATCTTCTGATCAACCAGGTCAGAGATGTTATTACACACCTCCTGAAGCAGAACCTGTGCCTCTTGCTCTAGAGATAGGGACAGTGCCATTGCAGCACAAGATCCTAGGCAAGACCCTCTGGTAAAATTCCAAGGAAGGCTGGCATCTGGTATCTCTAGATTTCAGATGATTTTCTGGACCTTGAGCTAAATCCCAGCTGTGGATAGGATGGGAGTTTGACAGAAGATTAACATATTTTCAACACATCATCATTTCCTGACCTTTCTCCCATTTTCCAGTCATTTTGATATGAAATTGATGTTTATTGTGCATAGCTGCATAATCAAAGGCTGCACACTGTTCCAAAGTCAATCATTCTAAAGAAAAAACAATGTTTCATTTTATCCAAAAACTAATCATACTGCTATAACTGAAATTAAGTTTCTGTGCTTGATTCAGTTGTTTGAGATCTGGATCTCTCGGGTTTGAATTCATTGAGCTGTAACATCGTTGGACTTTGCAATCACTGGCAACCAGCAGAGCAGCTATTGATTTTACTTTCTTGTTTGTTTTCAGAATATTCATTGATTAAGTAGAACCAACCCAATTGAATTAGCTCATACACCAATTCTTATAAACTTGGTGATGTCAACCAAAACCGTATAATATTGTACATAGCAATTAATAAAATGTTCCTCTGTGGATTCAAAGACATCCACTGGAAAAGGGCTATAGAGACATCGATCCAAAACTCAAAGGTATGGATCAAAAGATAAGTTACTGGGATTGATCATCATTTAATTGAAGAATCTGGAGTGACAGTTCTTGTATCCAGGCTTGTGCAGGGGGTTTTTCCTATGACATCAATATGCTTTTCCCCAGAGTGATAGGTAGCACTGGTGAGCTGTGGGATGTTTCATTTATAAAATGAGAAGCATAGCTCCCTAGGTACAAACTTGGCTGACTGTCTTGGAGCAACAGTGCTTCAGCCATGTGTGCCAGTCGTATCCAGCAGATCAGTGTATTATTTAAGAGTGCCGCAAAGAACATCATGCAGACTTAGTTATACTGTAGGGAAGTCGGAACTAGTTGAAGATTTATTATGGATTTTGGTGAGTTTTAAAACAATCATTGCCAGTAAAACGACTCCTAACACTCACATTCATAGTGCCATATTTCTCAATTGGTGGCATTGCAATATTACACCAAAGTTTAACATTTGAAAAAGTAAATGAACCTTGCTGAAAATTAAGCTCCAAAATTAAATCAGGGTGATTTTTTGCAGAAATCAAAGTTCAGTGTAATTTCTATGTAAAAAGCAATCCAGAAAATTCCAAGCTAGTGTATGTCAGCTACCCATCCCTGAAGGTACCTGTAGGTGTTGTGCTATTTATTGCTCAATTATGAAGAGGTTTTACAATATTTGAGGAGGTGAAGTCATGCCACAGGAGACTGGCATTCAAATGTTTGATACTTTTATCTGACGTTCTGTCATTGCTTTTAATGAGATATCAACATAATTATTTTAACTGGGTTAATGTCTTTGCTGAAATGATGTATAAAGGAATTTTAAACAAACAAGTTAAATATTTGTATCTCAAAACCTGAGTTCAATGTATTTTGGACCTTTTATAAATGATATGTTAGGACAGAGGTGACATTTCTTTCAGACAGTTGTGCAACTTTGGAACTCTCTGCCTCAGAAGTGGTGGAAGTGAGGTCATTAAATATTTTTAAGGTCGTGGTAGATAGATTCTTGTTAAGCAATGGAATCAAAAGTTATCGGGAGTAGATGGAAATTGTTGAATTCAAAGCACAAACAGATCATCCAAGATCTTATTGAACTTTGGAGCAAGCTCAAGGGGCCAGATGGTTTACTTCTGTTGCTATTTCGTGTTTTCATATGTTTGTCACTGAGAAAGTAAACTCATTCCAGAATAATACAACATCATACTCTTGGTCCATAGCACCATAATCTTTCTTGACAGTTCAATTTTAATGTTCAGAGCTAGTTTAAAAATTAACAAAACAGGCCCTGGTGACTCTGTACGTAGAGCTTGTTTTGCATTTGCCTTGCTAATAATTACCACACTTTAAAGCAAGTAATTGTAGATGGAATATTACTAGGTGTTTCTAAGAGGTGCCATATAA